GAAAAATAAGGTACAAATAAGGAAAAATAAGGTACAAATAAGGAAAATAAGGAAAAATAATAGACAAATAAGGAAAAATAAGGAAAAATAAGGTACAAATAAGGAAAAATAAGGAAAAATAAGGTACAAATAAGGAAAAATAAGGAAAAATAAGGTACAAATAAAGGACAAATAAAGAAACAATAATAAAAATATAATATTAAAAAAATATATATACAAATAATTAAAAAAATAAAGACACATAGAAAAAAAACAATAAATCTAATAAGGAAAAATAACAAAAATGCTGTAATGCAAATTTCAAATACATAAAATATTATAGAATTAATGCACAGTAGAAAAAACACATTTAAAAAAAATAAACATTCAGAGACAAAACTGAAACCTATATAGTATATATTTTCCTGAGTTGAATCAATACTATACAGGCAAAAACATTACAACACCCCACACCCCCCGAAAACAACAACACAAAAAACCAACGAATCAGGTCCTGACAGTCTGTCATGGTGGGACAACCTTCTTCTTGGCTGCTCTTTTTTCCTTTGCGTCTTCCCGGTTGGCTTTGATCTTGGCTGCCTCCTCAGCTTTCTTTTTCTTGTCATCCTCTTTTGCAGCAGCAGCCTTTTTTTCATCTTCTTCAACTTCTACCACCTCATCATCTGCTGGTTTCACTGCCGCTGATGCACTTGGCAACTTCACTTCAGCCTCTGTTGGTTCAGGCTTTGGCGAAGATGTGTCCTGAGTCTGTTTTTTCTCTTCCATCTCCCTTTGGATTTGCTCTCGCAATTCCTGTTGCATTTTCTTCTGCCACTCTGCTGCATCTTCCTTTTGCTTCTGTTCGAGCTCCTGCATCTGTTTGATCTTGTTTTCAAGTTCTTGCATTTTGAGCTTGTGTTTTTCTTCCTCTTCTTCTCTCTGCTTTTCTGCTTCTTTACGCTTTGTCTCCTCTTCAGCGGCCTTCGCATCTGAGTCTTCCTTTTGCTTCTTCTGCCTCTCTAATTCTGCTGCCACTGCCTCATCATGTTTACGTTTCTTTTCTTCTGCAGCCTTCTCCTTTGCAGCCTGATCCTGGGCTTCAGCTGCCTTCGCTTTTGCCTCTTCTTCATCCTTCTTCTTCTTTGCTGCGTCTTCTTCATCCTTCTTCTTTGCCGCGTCTTCTTCATCCTTCTTCTTCTTTGCCTCGTCTTCATCCTTCTTCTTCTTTGCCTCGTCTTCCTCCTCCTTCTTCTTTGCATCAGCCACATCCTTCTTGGACTGCTTCACCAATGCTTGAATCTTGTTGAACAGCTCCTTGCTCATGGTGTCAAACTTCAGGCGAGTAACCCACTGCGGCTTTCCACTGCCAGAGGGTGAGTGTAGGAAGACTTCACCTTCGTGCTTTCCACTTTTGGTGTTGGCCACAAGCTTCCAGTCACTGCTTCCGTCAATCTCAGACACCTGTATCTCTTCCCCTCCGTGAAATAGAACCCATGTCTTTGAGTCTTGAACAGAGGTGAACACAGTGTAGCCATCCACCATGCCCTGCCAGCAGCAAGAGATAAGACTTTAATAGAATCAGTTTGACAACCACTATTTAGTATGTAGTAGTGTGTGGTTGAGATTGTTCCATCGTTTATATTGAAGTGATGCTCATGCCATGAGTCTGACAGACTGAGGCCTGAGTCTGAGTCAGAGTCCGTACTTAAAAAAAATCTATTGTCCGCCTCTGACAGATCTTCTTCGGGCTCAGATTCTGATGGCGGTGCAATGTCTTCATCGCTATCTTCGGGTTGCTCAGGACCAGTGCCATCTCCTAAGATAGATTTGGAATCCCCCGAATTCTCGATGCTGACCCGACCCACCCTGGCTGGCCCAGTGAGTGAAGCAACATGAAAAGCATATAAAACTGATTTAATAGCAATCTAGCATCCCAGCGGGCATGTGTTACCAGCCTTAAGTTCAGTCAACCATCCTTTGTTGCACTGATCGCACACCTCACGAAAGTAATTGCAAGCGCACACAGGCTTCTTCTCTCCTGTCGTCTTAGTCTTGTCAGCACCATCGGGCGTCAGCTCAGGCTCACTGCCACCGCCTGGGGGCATGGATCATTTCACAATAACAATGTAAAGTTTACTTGGCAACAACATATATATAGTTAAATTTGTTTGTGAACTTCTTTAATGAATGGAGTCCAACAATCAACTGCTTTTCAAGTTTCTGGGCCTTTGGGTGTCCCTGTCACTGTCAATGGCGTTCCAGGCTGCGCTGATGATGCAGGGGTTCCAGGCAAAGGAACATTAAGCGGTGCAAATTCTGTCTTCGGCTTCTTCGCAGTCGGTTTGTCGGGGGTCTCCTTCTCGTCTGTGTCATCCTGAAAGAAATCAATGCACCTCACAGACTTCTTTCCATCTGAAATGAACGGAATGCCGGACTGTTCCTTGTAGATCTGGTTCTTCCATGAATTCTTGGGCAAAGTCACCTTGCTCTTTCCACAAGTCAGGATCATCTGGCCAGATTGTCCCTTTTCAATCTGAAACTCCAGGTGCCTGCTCATCTCAGCTTCAACTTTGCGAATCATGTCAAGCACGGTCATGCCAGCACCAGGCCTACCCAAATTCTCGTACTCCTTCAAGAGATCAGACCGAATTTCACCCTTGGGCTTCCTCAGATGGAAGTCACATGTGTTAACTATAAATATATAATGTTGAATTAATTGAGCTAGATTCAATGTAAACAACTTGAACATATTATTATGTGAAAACTGCTAATAATAATGAGTGGTTGCTAAGTTAAAAAGCACCGACCAAAAAATAAACACCTGCTGTGAGTATTCCAAGTTTCTTCTCAGGCTTCTTCCCAGGGTTCTGGCGAAAATAGCCGAAGAACACTCGCCGCAACTGCCGCGCAGAAAGGTCAGACAACTTCAGATGATTTGCTGCACTGGGCTCAGCGGCTGCTAGAAAGTCCCGAAGATGAGATTCCTTACTAACTCAGTCTGTCTGACAAACAGTAGTTTAAATATTAGTTAGAGAATCTCTGCACTGAATTCAGATTCAGATCACTTAAAATACAAATATTAGCATTTTTGTCAAGAAAATTAAATAAAGCATTGAAACACAATACAAGATTCTGGAACTGCGCGCCAGGAGTTGTAGCGAAAAATCTGCTTGTCTCCTTTCTTAGATGTTCTCGACTTTGGCTTCTTTTTCACGGTCTTAGGCTTCTTCGAAGTGCCCTTTCCATCCTTGCCTTCCTTCCCTTCCTTCCCTTTGCTTTTGGCTTTAGGTTTTGGCTTACCCTTTGCGTCCTTCCCGGCATCCTTCTTTTCATCCTTCTTTTCATCACTAGAGGACCCACTAGACTCATCATCAGACCCTTCCTCCTCTTCGTCACTGCTTTCCTCGATCTCTTCATCTGCGCCCCACTTGAAAGGGATAGCCGACATGATCAGACTGTCAGTCAGACAGAAATCCTTCAAGGTCTCACTCTAAGCTTCTTACTCTTTGATTTGAGTCGAAACCTACAGGCATTTGCAATGATTAAATATGTCAAAATAAAGACCCGACCCTCTGAAAAATAAATTCAGTGTTGTTTCTTTTTGATGAACATTGCATGCACACACTTTGTCACAGTTGGCCACTCAGACTGAGTCACTCAACAGACAGACATGACATATGTGTGAAACTATTCCTGACGACCTTTTTTTTTTGCACTGTGGCATTGACGTTGACAATCTGGACACGGTGTCTTTCAAAGACACTTGACAGACATACGATGTACATTGTCCACAAGACTACCCTCACTAACTAGTCACCAGGACAAACAGGCTGACTGACAGACGGGGTCAGGATGGGCAATTGTCTCATTCACTGGGATAACAACATTTAGCATTGTAGAGCAATCCAGCTATGTTATGAAGCCCAGTCTGCTCGTCATGTTTTGACGTAGTCAGTCACAAAACTCATATTTCTAGCGTAATGTCTAGTGATCTAGGGGTCGAAAACACCCCAGAGCAAGCATCTGAGCTATAGCCACTGTAGTGAAGTGCATTGCGTTCCCAGCCAGGTCTGCTGCACGCAGAATATCCTGAGCTGGAACTGGCTTGCACTGCATGTTGGCTGCTAACAGCTCCGAGACAGGCCAGCCCAATGCTGCTAGTTTCTCTCGAGCAACCATGAAACGTCGTAGGTAAGGACACCACATCAGTCCAGTCTTCGAGTTCCTGCGAAACGTTGGGATACTTTTGGATTTTGCTGACCAAGTTCTCCAACAATTTGGGTTGTCGCCCAAGAACACCACCAAGTCAGGATTGTCAGTGGCACAACCAGCGTACTCTTCCTCATACAAGCGTTTGTAGGTCTCCAATGCCTGCTTTTCCCTTTTGGTTAGTAGGTAGGACAGATCTGCTGCATAAGGTCTGTACTGAACACTTCGCTTTTCAGCAAGAGCCCGTGCTTCCAGTTCGACTTCAACCTGTTGAGCCAAAAAGTAGTCAGAGGGCACTGTACGGACCTGACCACTGACTCTTTTGGCAATCTTGTCCTTCATGATGTCTGGGTCATAGATGCAGGAGGTAAGCTCACGGTGAGATGCGATAACATAGGTGCGATTCCTGGCCACACCTCCATGACCTGTGTCTTGAGTAGTAAAAAAACAGCTGGTATAGGTCGTAGGACGGATGAGTCTCTTCCACCATGAGCATGTCCAATTCCTCAGGACAGGAGACAAATTCAATTAAATTAGACATGTAAATCCAAAGAAACCTATACTATTAATTTATAGATTGTTGAATGCATTCTTACTTACATTGACTGGCGTTTGCAGAAAAAAAGCAATTTAATTGTTTCCCTGCCTGTCAATGAAAAGAAGTAACGTAAAGAACCCACTATGTAACTTTGCCAAAGTTCCGGTGTACACTCGAGGACAAACAGTGGAACCTTCTTGGCCTCAGTGTACTTGCCGTGGGTCATATATATGGAATTGGTCGGACCAAATCGCTTCTTGCGTTTGCCTGCTCGAGACATATCGGTGCACGGCAATCCACTGCATCCAAAATGAGCACCCGGTACACAGCAGTATTCTGATTCTGAATCAGACCAGCTGTGCGTGTTGCAAAGCTGATATTCCATGAGCTCTGACTCTTTGATTCTCTGTTTCTTGATCTTGTAGCTGTCGGCTGCGTTGAAGGTTCCACCAGGGTTCAACCCCAAGATATCCCCAAAGAAGTGAGGCATTGGATGGTCTCTGCCAATTGTATCTGTGCACCAGCGATGGTTGTCAAACAAGAGCTGGTTACAGTTGGCAGCATACTCCTTAGTCAGCAGTTTAAGTAGCATGATTTGGAAATGAATACTGTTTGGGTTCCTCACCCTGAAAAGAAATGAATTCAACAGAAACCATTGTCCACCAAGCAAATCTAAGAGACCCAGAGCGCAACAGTTTGGATATTCATCTCGAGATCACTGTGAGGCAGTGGATACTTTTGCACTATGCTCTCGATGACCGCTCTTGAGCTCTCTGCAGTTCCAGCGCCAGAGCACATGGAGAAGGCCGTCTTTGCATGATAAATCCAGGAATCCTGTCAGTCATGTGTGTGATTGAAAGGTTTTGCTACTGATCTATCTCACTGACTGTGAATGTTCAGTTCTAATGAATGATTGTTATAATTATAATAGTGTGTTTTTTAGTCACATTAGGTCATGCATATTATACCTTATGAGTCATTGATCAGGAATCTGAAATCCTACTGACTGACTGACCGACCCATCTCCGAGCCTCAAGATTCTGAACCACCTTTTTCATGAGGCTCCACCCAACAGCAATGGAGTTGGATGCTTTCTCCAGGCGCGTCCAAGATGCCCCCTGGTCAGACAGTGTCATAGGACGCCACAGGGGAACCCATTATTGAAGTGAAAGCAAAATCATATCAGAATCGGAGGTCTGAAGGTCAACGTTGACGCACTAGACTAGAGAGATTCTATATACTGACTGAATTGTTCTGCTGAGCAATTGACTGACAGTAGTAACGGTTTCCAGCCTCTTTCTCAACAGACAGTGCAAGACTACGGTGGCAGGAAGAAGTCTCTTCGCTTCTGCTGGCCAGATCATGCTGGTCATCATCAGACCAAAGATCCAGCAGGCCATTGTTTGGCACGAGCGCCATGTGTCACAAACAGTCAATGGCAAAAGGTGCGAGCTCAGGCTATTCAAAAAACAAAGAATAATCGTTTCACGACTGGTTACTTGTTAGTCGCCTGTGGGCTCATTTTCTGATTTGGGCCCAATCTTTCCCTGTGAAAAATGGGTCAGTGAAACCCAACCAGCACTCAATCCCTCACCAAATGCTTGTGAGCCCAATCTTTCCCTGTGAGAAATGGGTCAAACCAGCACTCAATGAATCCCTCACCAAACGCTCCAGTCCAGGAGAAGTTGCCGGCAAGTTGCGATTGGTGGAGAGAAGCACGAGAGGCCAATGTCAGGGCCTTTGCTCTGACTCACTGGGTGCACTGGCTGGGTTTTCTTGATTGGTATGAGTCAAGGAGACTGAATTGTCACACTCTGTCAGTATCTATCATGTGTACAATATGTATTTAATAGGACTGATTGATTTCACGTCATTCTGAGTATCTATGACATCATTATACAATAAATAAGCAAAGATGCAATGCCAAGCATATCCCTCCATGGGTGTCTTCCCAATTGATGTGCCATCAAACGCAACCTGGGCGTCTTGTGGATTTGAACATCGCTAGTCAGGCAGCAAAGAATTCAGGCTGATTGATTCCATTTCAGAATTCACCAAAACCTTGAGTTCAAGCGGGGAACATGTCGGTGAATCTCAGGTCCCACCTCCCTCTGAGCTGCCTGGATGTAGGCAGCCTAGGCGCGGACTGCTGCTGACTTCGGTCTGAACTGAACGGTGTTGGGAGGTGTAAAATATCAATGCATCTTGAAAACGGTCTCTTTGTTACTAGACTGAAGACTGGCTTAGCCCCGCTGTAACCTGTAACTGTAAAAACATGTACTATCATCTTGCTGCAAAAGGACACAATACCTCTCAGCGGTAGATGCACACTGGTAGGAGATGATTTTTTGGTCGCTCTTCTTGAACATGTCAATCTTGCGAAACGCACTTGATAAAAGGTGTTCCTTAGACATGTTCAGGTCAAGCACGTATGCATATGTCTATCAAATTTCCACATCAAACAGACAGACAGACCCGGATCCCAACTGACCCAGATATTACAAAACAAGTCTCTGAATGAGCCTTCACATCCTGGATTGCAGTCCACAAAGTGGCTGCGCTCACACGTCTCTTGAACCTTGCAGGCTGCCTGGTTCTTCGTGCAGTAGCAGAGCTCAGTTCGGAGAAGTTGGAGTCCTTAGATTAGATCTATTAGCAGAGAATTGAAATCCCGGCTCTTGCAATAGAATCTTGGGAAACTAGATTGATTAGATTGAATGCTTCCAGAGAGCGAGAAAATGGGCTGCCTGCGCAAGCATTCCATAGCCGCATGTCCTTATGGCACTGGTGTTGTTCCTGGGCACGCCGAGACTGTGACTGTAGTAGTACTGGAACACGGTCCACTGTATTGAATTGAGTTGAGTTTCGGGTCCAGTGCAGCTACTGCAAAACTCGCCCAGTCAAGGAAGGTTGACCACCCGCCACACACCCAAGACTTCTCTGGATCCTGACAGGGTTGCAAGATTGCAGCACGGTGTTCAAACAGGTCAGGCAATGTGTGAAGGCTAGTCAAAATGCACCATTTTTTGTTCTCAACCCCAAAAAAACAATATCCTCAGCACTCTCATTCCAATAGTTCTTCAACTGCTTCAGGCTGTCAGGCTCCAACATTGAAGTCAGCACTGCCACAGGAAACATTCCGGTAGTAGGGACAGGGATATGGTATTGATTCCCGTGTGCTGTGAAGGATAGTTTGAAGTCGCCAGTTTGAGATAGATGTGTCAAAATTTTGTGCAACATGCTGGAAGCTGCATACCTGCTCTCTTTCATCCCACCCTTCCCTCTTTTTAGGGATGCCTGGCTGCACAAAGCAGCAAAAAGAAATGATGTGGGAATGGTTGATTCCACAAAGAATTTATCATCCGTTGACTCTTTCTTTCTATCTGCAGTAGGTACCAAGAGCTTCGGCACATCCGCTTCTGGCCAAAGCTGCTTGTGCATCCTCGTCCATTTCTGGAAGTTGTTGCCCTTCCACAGTCCTTGGATCACGGGACGGAGTTGGCTTAAATGTATTAAAGGCTGTTCACATAGTTGGTAGTGAATTTGCATCTTACAGTATTTAAAGTAATAATATTCAAAGACATGACGTTAAAAATCTCGTGTTGTTTTCAGATTGGGTTCTTGCTCTACGTTGAAGTTCTCTTTTGTCCAACTTGGGTTCTTTGCTTTGCATAGCTGCATACAAGTGGTACACGCTCCACTCGCACTGGCGTCCATTGCGATCACCTGCCCAAGCCACCAATGAAACCTGTCCCAAAATAAAGAAGCCTCAGTCAGTGAACAACATTTATTTGGGATTACTGTCTTTCTGAGCAATTTCTGTATATAGCAAAAGCTGAGAGGCTTTCGTCACCATACGGAAATTCAGTCATGGGCCATCTGATTCATGGCTCTCTCCGCTCCGGTGAAATTCTCAAAAGTAAATAACATATGAAATGAACGGGTGAATCATTGTCATCATGACATGGTGATGGCTAGTGGGTTAAATATGATGGTGTATGTCTTTTGTAGTATTTGTTCTTCCCACTGATTATTGCCGCGACTGCTTCATCTCCTCCTGGATGTACGTCCATTGCCAATGCTTGATGGCACTGCAGAACAAGTTGCAAGTAAGAGAAAATAAAGACAAATAAGAGAGAAACACTGAAAGTACAAATAAGGTAAAATAAGGACAAATAAGAGACAAATAAAGGAAAATAAAAGCAAATAAAGAATCCCATGTATAACAGTATAGCTAAAAGTTCTAGCGGCTCAAACATAAATGGCTCAAAACATACCTATGAACATCGCCAGAATGCCCCAGCACGATTGTACAAAACCTGAAAGCTGGGGCCTCCTCTATACAAAGGACTACACTTGGTGGGGGAGATACAGCTCGGGTCAGGTTGAAGCATGTTGAAGCCAGGCTTCGTGCCAGGATCAAAGCAAAGGGACCTCGCCCAGCACCTCTTCTTGCAAGGTCTCTAAAGCAAACCTTCAGGGGAATATATATTCAGAAAAGAACAAAAAACACGGCGACTTGACAAGCCGACTAGCCTATGTGTGCTGTTCAACGCTTCTTTGGCAAGATACACACACTGGTATTCTTCAAAGCAATCATTGATCGAAGTCTGTGTCGCTTCTGTGCCTGGTAGCGAGGCGGGTCCGCATCCAAAAGCTGCGCGCAAAAGCGTGTGCCCAGGCACTGCAGCACCCAGTGACGGTGCTCCTGCAGATGTCATCCGCCCAAAAACACCGAGTGTTTGAGGAGATTTCTACCTGTGCTCATTGCTTGGTGTGTCTGAAACTTCAGGGCACACCGTGCAGCACAAGAAGCACACCAGAAATGCCTGCTTGGTGTGTGTGTGTGTAGGCCAGAAGACAGTAGCCACCTGTACGGCCAAGTGTTGTCTGATCGTCTCATGGCTTTTCAGGTGTCCGCTTCATGGAATGGTATCTTGTGTTGAAAGCTGTTCCTTCAATCAGGGGCGCCCTTCTTAACATCCCAAAAAAGATTCACCGCAAGCTGAAAAATGACTGTGTTTCTTGTGAATGTCCACTGTCTGTGTGGGCCATGCACTTGGCAATATTTCGATGTTCTAACCACACATCTATCAAACACTCCCCTTTCCAAAAGATGGAGTCTCTCAGAACACTTAGAGCACCCCCAGAAACCACCTCAGCATTGTCAATGAGTTTGCTTAGAGACACCCCTCTGCCATCTGCGTTCGATCCCCCATGGCCCACTCCAGCAACAACTCGGCCAGCTCCAGTGTCACTTCTGGGCACGCGTCCCACATGCGCTGCCGAAGAAAGAAGAGCCGCCCGAAGGCGATCACTGCATCTACGGCCTCACGTCGTCGCGGGCGTCGCGCGCGTCGCGATCTTTTGCGTGAAGTGATGAGGGCCAGCAACGCAGCCGTTGGAGGATTTGGATGAGTGTTCCCAAAGTGGCGTCTTGGGATACAAGTCAAAATGATAGGACCCGGCAAGCTGGTGACAAGACTTGGTTGGGTAACGTGGGCAACAAACAATTGCAAATGAACCAATGCCATGTTTGCACTTTGGAGGAAGGATGTTTGAAGAGACCATAGCAAAATGGATAGCATGCTATATATATATATAAGTGAGCGTATCTTCGAAGGTGCCCACTTTTAGTGGCTGATCAATCCTCGAAGGCTTGGACTGGGAAAAGAGAACCTGTAGTGCGCCACAACCGACAACCTTGAACGATCTGGGACCATTTGGAGCCAGGGTGCTGTCGGTGGACGTCATCGATACCGATACCTCAAGTGAAACACTATATAATGGAACATCAA